ACGCGCAGCGCGTCGAGCCTGGGCGAGATGAGCTCGGCGAAGATGGCGGGCAGGTAGCGATCCCAGTGGAAAGCAGCGGCCACCTGCGCTTTGCCGAAGAAGTCGCACAGGCGCTTGTAGCCTGCCTGTCGCACGAGACGCGCACGCGAGGTGCGAGCAGTCAGCGGCTTGGCCGCATCCGCAGCGACACCCTCGCTGCTCTCGCTGTGCACCTGCACGACGGCCTTGTGCGCGTGGAATGTCAAGTTGAGAGAGACACCAATGAGGCGATCCCAGTACGGCAGCAGATTGGCGCCAATCTGCTTGACCACCTCGCCGAGCAGCGTCAGGTATCCCACCTGGCGGCGCGTCGAGGTGACGGGCGGCTGCGAGACAAACGCAAACTTCTCGCCCTCTGCCACCAATTGCGTCGCCTGGTCTCCGAATGGCGCGAGCATGAGGTCGACGAGCGTCACGAGCTCTTCCGAGCCCACGTCGGCGAGAGCACCGAGCACCGCACCCCTTCGGGACCTCTGTCCCGCACCGCTGGTGCGGTTGCCACGCCTCGACAGCAGCGCGCCGAAGAGCAGCCTGATGACAAGCGGCATCAGCACCGGACGATGATACGGCTGCACGACGTTCGTATCGGACGAAAGCGTAAAGGTGGTGAGCGTGTCCCTAAAGTTGGCCGTCTCGAGCAAGTCCTTGAGCTTGCTTGCGTACGGCAGAACCGCCTCGTCCTTCCACGTAAGAATGGCCTCGAGCGCCAGTTTCTGCACCGACACCTCGGCAGTGGCGCACAGGCTGAGCAGGTACGTATGCAGCTCCGTCGAGCGCGAGAGGGCCTTGGGATTCTTAAGCTTGCCAAGGACTTCAAGGTACGCTGTAAGCTGCGCCTGACGGTCCTTCTTGCCCAAATTCATGGCGGCCGGATCGATCGGCTTGCGCTCCTTCTTGGCAGCTTTGCCATCCTCGGCAGCTTCGTCCTCGTCGTCGTCAGCTTCGTCGTCGAGCGGCGAGAGAAGCACACCTGCGTGGTTGCGCGGTCCGGCATCGCGGAAGAAGATGTGCACGAAGCGCGCGTTGTTGCGCTCAACGGTCAGCGCGACCTCGCAGAAGAGCTTGAGAATTTGGTGGCGGTAATTGACCAAGTCCAGCCGGGCGTCCGGGCGCTGCGCCTCGACACAGGCCTGCAGAGTCGTCGTGAGCTTGGCCGCGCTGGTCGCGGACTTGGCGCAATCGCTTCGACCTGCGCCGGTGCGCGCGTGCTCGATGCAGCTTCGGACGGCCTTGCGCCTCTCGAGCAGGATGCCGTCTTGGAACTGCTTGTCGTCGTCGATGCCCGCAACGTCGCTTTCGTCGCGCAGCACACGGTCCGGCTCGACCTCATCAGCGTCCACAGAGCCAGGTGCATCGTCGTCCTCCTCGCCGTTTCGCTTCGTCCACGCCTCGGGCACCGCGCGGATCTCGGCGCTGTCCAGCTGTCGACCGGCCTCGAGCTCGTTGATCGCAATGCCAAACAGCGCATTCTCCAGCTCGCGTTGGCCAGACTCGACAATGTCCGTGAGCGCCTTGATGGCCTCGCCCCAGACTGGTCGCAGGTTGACCTTGAGGTTGGCGAGCACGTAGCGCATGACCAGTGCGTCGCGCTCGGCGAACTTTGCCACGTCGGCAGGCTTGTACGCTGCAACGGTGCGTCCGAGGTCTCGGCCGACGCTTCGCAAGCGCACGTTGCGATCGCGGATCGAGGCGACGGAGAGGGGTGTGCGCTCGACCTCGACGAGCTTGTCGATGAAGCCTGTCAAGCCACGCAACTGCTGTGTTTCGGCGAGGGCGAGAATCTCGAGCGCCGCCAGACGGATCACGGGGTCCGACGACATGATGGCCTCGGACAGAGGTTCGAGCACATCTGCGAGCTCCGGCAGTGCGGGTCGGAGTCGTGCAGGACACGAAGCGAGGTACTTGCTGAGGCCTTGGATGGCACCTCGGTGCCACGAGGCACAACGCACGACCCGCTGCACCTCCATGCGGTCCTTGATCATCTTGGCTGTGGCTTCAAAGTCCTTGGCGGCGCTACGCTCTTGCAGGATGGCGAGACTCTCGCAAGCCTGGCCGACGAGCAAGGCAGGGTTGACGATATGCTGGTCGAAGCTCGCACGCACCTCGTCGCGCGAAGCCCAGAACCTGTCCGAGAGCAAGCCGTCGAGAAGGAGCTCGGCGATCTTGCTGCCGAAGCCGGCGGGTGATGCGGTCCTCGGAACGGTCGCCAGGCGCAGCGCTGGCACGAGCGGCTCGAGCGAAGCTTGATCGGCCAGCACGTTCGCCTTTGCCAGCTTGGCCTTGGAAGCACCGTGCTTGGATGGGGTGCAGAAGCGCTCGACGAGCTTGGCGAGACGCTCCTCGATGGCGGCAGCGACATGCTTGGACCAGCGGACAAGCGCAGGGGTCGCGGGGGCGGTGCGAATGCCGTCGAGCTGCCCGAGCTTCTCGAGTCTCTCGAGCAGGCTGAACGCCTGGTCCTTGCTGTGCGACGAGGTGGATGCGGAGGCGAGCGTCTCGGCGGTCGAGGTGAGCACGGACGGCAGGGCGAACTGCGTGAAGCCGGACCATCCGAGTGCCGGCTGCGCCAGGGCTTCGACGAGTGCGCTGAACTCGGGCCAGAGCGCCTGCCGCTGCTCGATGCCGTGCTTGGCCTTGGCGACCGAGGCCACGGGCGCGAGGGCGTCGACGATCTTGATGCCGGGACCGAGCAGGTCCTGAAGGCGACCGATGGGGAGCGCCAAAGCGAGCAGCGAGACCATGGACGTCTGGAGCGCCGCGCCCTGTGGCGACTGGACTGCGTCGTGGAGGAATGAGCCGGAGAGCTGGAGCAGGAGAGCGAAGAGCGCCGGCTTGGCTGCATCTGCGACGCGTGTACCCTTGCGCACACCCACTGCGCACGCCAGCCACTCGACGGACTCGGTGAGGTGCGCAACATGCTGCGCTCCATCCTTGTGTTCGAGCAAGCGCGCGTGGTTCGTCTCGACGAGGCTCGAGACGAACTCGAGCACGGGTGCAAAGTGAGTGGCGTTACAGTGGTGGTTGAGCGCCGTGATGGTGAGACGGCCGAGGATGAGGCGGGTGAGATGGCGGTACTTTGCAACCGACGCGTTGGGGGCGGCACGCGACGGGCGGAGGAGCACGCTGAGCAGCGAGGTGCACTTGGAGTGCAGACGACGGTCGAGCGACTTGCATCCCTCGACCCAGATGCCGGCAATGCCCCTGGAGAAGCGCACCGAGGGTCGGCGAGACGGCTGTCTGCGGAAGTGGATGTGGCGGTCCTCGTCATGGAGCATGGTCTCGAGGTCCGAGACGATGAGCGAGGTGATGTTGTGCAGCTGTCGACCGCGCGTCTTGCGGAGCAGATGGGCGAATGCCTCGGAGGCGAATCGTCGGGTGAAGGGCGAGATGCGATGCACGTTGGTGTTTCTGAACGTCTCGTCGGCTTGAGGAGCCTTGTCTGCAGTGCCATCGTCGTCCTGCTCAGGCTCCTGAACCTCTGTGTCCTCATCGTCACTTTCTTCTTCTTGTGCATCGAGAGCTGACGGATGTGCTTCCTTCACATCGATGCGCTTCCAGCCGAGGTAGGGGCGGATGACGGTCCATGTGTCGATGAGGCGCTGTGTCCTCTCGTCCACCTCGTCTTCCTCGACGTCCTCTTCGACCATGACAATGTCGCCGTCCTCAGCGCTCTCGTTGAGCGCATCGTCCTGGACGGACGCTCCCTTTTCCTTGCTGACGACGAACGGGCTGACGGCCTTGAGGATCCAAGCGGACGACTGGAATGCGCGCTCGACGAGGTTGGCGGCGGCGCGCTCGTCACCGTTGGTGGTGTCCTTGGTGGTGGTGGTGACGTGGACGGCGCTCTTGAGCATGGTCGGGTAGATGGGGAGGAACTCGGAGCCGAGATCCTTTGCGAGTCTGGGGAGGATATCGAGAGCTGCATCCCATGCGAGCCACTGGCTAGGCGATGAGAGTGCTGCTGCGAGGATGCTGGCGATGGACGAGCGATGGTGGATGAGCTGGGGCAGCGACTGCACAATTGGGTTGAGCTGGCGATAGAGGTCGACGAATGCGTTGGAGAGGTTGAGGTCGGTCCACGCCTGCAGAGCGTGCGAGACCGAGGTGCGTGCATGCAGCGAGGAGGAAGCATCTTGGTCGTCGATGTCGAGCAGCTCTTCGTCGAGCGCATCTATGGGCTGCAGACGCGCGGCCGACGCCGAGGACGAGGACGAGGCGAGGGGAGCATCGAGGCCTGCGTAGGGTCGGTAGCTGGTGCTGGCGCTGATCGCGGCGGGAGCGAGATGGACATCCTGGAGGCGCTGGTTGAACGAGGCGTATCGGAAGCGCGTGGTGACCTTTTCGGCGTTCTTGTTGATCTGCTTGAGCGTCTTTTGCTTGGCACTGGCGAGGCTGCCGCTGGCGTCGAGCTGGACCTTGCGGATCTTGCCCGCCTTCTTGTCGGCCTTGCGACGCTGCTGCTCTCGCGACAGCTTCTTGGACTTGCCCGACTGGGCAGCCGATGCAGTCGCCATGATGAGCAGTGAGCAAAGGGGGATATGGTGTGTGTGTGTGTGTGTGTGTGGTGTCGTGGTGAAGAAGGTAGGACCCAGTCGAAGTGAGCTCTCTGCCTTCTGCTGGCCGTGGCGCTGCGAAATTTTTGCGCGGCTCCTTCGCACTCTTACTGGGCTGCTTCGACGGCTCTCCGACTCCCGAGTGTTGCGCTTTTCCAAGAATTTTGGCTCGAAAAATTCCTGCCAGGGTCCACTAAAAGCTCAGCTGCTCAAAGCGGGCGCCACACCGCTCTCACACGCCTTCCTCCACACGCGCGCCTCACTCGGATTGGCAATTTTTCAAATGTTAGAGCCCACCTCCTGCAGCCTCTTCTTCGACCAGCCACATCAAGGTCACGCACGGTCACGGTCTTGGAGGCGCACGCTACCGCACAGAGGTCGAAAAGTGATCATCGCATAGAGGCAAATCTACAGCCCGGCTATCAAGTTGGCGGCGGCATTGGGCTCGTCGCCGAGCGGAGCCCATGGGTTCGGCTGATGCGCTCGCGGTTCGGCTTGCGCGCGGCCGTGGTCTGCGTCGTTGGGAGGCTGGGGCGGCTGGTCGTCTGCCTGTTGACGCCGCTCGCGCTGCAGCTGGAGCTGGACGTTCTGGCGCATGTAGGCAAGGTAGGCGAGTGCACCCAGCGCAAGAATGAGCAGGCCCGACTCGATCATGTCGTCCAGATCCTCGTCCGACTCGTCATCCCGCGCCGCCCAAGTCTCGGGCTCGTTCGGATCGCCGTATCCGCCGCCTTGCTCCTGGGCGATGTGGCGCTGGTTGTCCTCAGCCTGCTTCTGTGTCGCTGCTGCATGCTCGTCCGCCTCGGTATACGCTGCATTCGAACGGTCCGTCGACGTATACGATGAAAGCAGCGAGATGGCGCTCTGGCTCGAGTCCGACCGGAACGCTGCCGCCCACAGCGCGCGGATGTGCAGCTTGACCAGACTCAACGCCACGGGCAGGTACGCCTCCTCGTTGGTCTCCACCGCCATGTCGTAGTACCGCTTGGCCAAGTGGAAGTCCTGCCTCACGACCCCGATGCCATTCTCGTACATCCATCCCAGATTCCAGTATGCCAGTGCCGACACTCCGCGGTCCGCAGCGGCAGAGTAGCACGCCGCAGCCTTCTCGTACGCCGGCTGGCCCGGATTGCCCGTCCCGATGCCGTGGAAGTAGTAGTCGCCCATCTTGACCATCGCATCCACATTCGCCTGCGCCGCAGACCGCGTCCAGTGCACCAGTGCCAGCCGGTCCGTAAAGTTGTGGCGCTCGTCGGGCGTAGGATGCAGCTCGAGCAGGCGTGTGCGCGAGTGCGCCCGGTCCAGCAGGTACGCCACGTTGTTCTGCGCCGACTCGTAGCCCATATCGCCCGCCAGCGCCCAGCTCAGCAGCGCCTTCTGCCGCTCGCCCCGTCGCCACGCGTGTTCCGCCTTGTGCGAGATGCGCGTCGACCAGTCGCCGCGCTCCGCCGTCTCCTTGTACCCCGCCAACGCCGCGCGGCACTGCTCGTTCGAATGCGCCTTGCGCGCCATCTGCGCATTGATCCGGGCCAGCAGATACACCGCCTCGAAGCGGCTCTCGCCAAACACGGCGAGCGTGAGGCTCTTGATCGCGCTGTCCACGTCGTCCATGTCCATGTGGATCTTGGCGAGGTTCACGTTGGCGCCGCTGTGGCGCACCTTGGCGGCGGCCTCGAAGTACGACACGGCGGTGGCCATGTCGATGGGCGTGCCCAGACCGTCGCGCAGCATGACGCCGAGGCCGTTGTACGATTCGAGGTCGCCCGTGGTCTGGCCGCGCGAGAACCACACCCAGGCGCGTGCAAAGTCCTGCTTGACCCCCTCGCCGCGCAGATACATCTTGCCGATCATGCCCGCCGCCGTGCCGGCATGCGCGAGCAGGCCGTCGTCCGCCTTGAGCTGCACATCCTCACCCTTGTCGCCTGGCTTGGCCGTGTAGCCCGTGGGCCCGCCTCGGCCCACCTCGCCCGCCTTGCGCGGCCACACCTCCTTGGCCACGCGCAAGAGCCACTGGAGCGCGCGGCGGTAGTCGCGACGCACGGCGCCCGCCGCATCGCCCGACGAGTAGATGCTGCCGTGGTAGTACACCTGCGCGATGGTGAGCATGCTCTTGACGTCGCCGTGCTCGGCGAGGTACACGTGGTACTCGAGCAAGTCTTCCAGCGCCGACGGGTCGCGTGCCGACCCTGGCTGGCGGTTCAGCGCCGCCTGCACCGCCGGCTTCATGGCGGCATATCCAGTCGAGGCGACCGACGCTCCTGGTCCGTACGCGCCGCCGTCCAGGTCCGAGACGCGAATCTTGGTGTAGGGGAGAGTGAGTCCGCCAGGCGGACCCTGCTGAAAACGTTTGTACGTGTCGAGCGCCGCCTTCTCGTACAGATCCAGCGCGGTCCAGCACGATGGCGCGACGCCGATGCCCGCCTTGTAGCGGAAGCCGAGCGCCATCTGGGAGGGTGCATGGCCTGCATTGGCAGCGAGCGTGTAGTGCAGCACGGCTTTGGCCTGTCGCTGACCATCGTCCTGCTTCAGCTGCGCGAAGAGCTCGCGTCTGCGCTTCCAAGCTGCTCGCACATCGTCGGCCGACGGAGACGCCGAAAACGTCGACCACGAACCGAGCTGGTCCGAGAGCGGTTTCCAGTCGCCGCGCACCGTCGACTCCCAGCCACTGCCCTCGAGGAAGGCCAGACGCGCATGCGCGCTGGCGTTGCCTGAGGCAGAGAGACCGCTACGGTCGTGGCCCCAATCGACTAGACGCTGGTAGCATGCACGCGCACGAGCGAGGTTGGGACGGCTGCCATGGGTGCCCCACAGCGAATGCTCGGCAAGCACCCAGAGTGCGTCGGCAAGTGCAGGTGCCGTCTCTCCGGCAGCGGTGGATCGAAGCAGGCCAGATGCGTCGCGAGCAGCAGGCGAATAGGCTTCGTAGTCCCAGTCGACGCGTTCCCTACCCCAGCCCGCGCGGGTCAGCAGTGCGACTGCCTGGCTGCGATCTGGATTGTCGGCCTGTTGCTCCTCTTCGTGTGCGGAGGACGATTCGGACAAGCTGAGGTCTGAAGGTGCCTTGGACCCGCCGACGAAGGGTCCGAACATGATGCTCTCCCATACGCTCTCGGAGGGGCTGATGGGCGCCGTGCCTTCTGGTAGCGTCTCCCAGTCTGGCCAGAGCGTGAGTGTGCGAGCGCTGGGCCACTGCGATTCGTACTGCGACGCGCCGAGCGGAGGCCCCTGCCAGCGATGCGCGCCGTCGCCTTTTGACGAGCTGACACCTTGGATCCTGCTTTGGATCTTGGCTGGGCTCGCATCCGAGACTGAATCAGCAGCGGCATCAAAGATCTCCTGAATCCATCGCCGCAGCGAGGTAGAGGTGGATGCCGCGGCATCAGGCGAGCCGGCCGAGCTCGATGAGCTTGAAGCCTCGGCAGCGTTGGACTGAGGGGCACCCTTACCAGCCTTGGTACGCAGCGGCTTGGTCCTGATGGTACTGCGGAGAAGGCGAAGTGCTTGCTCGTATGCCTGCAGTGGCGTGTAGTCGGGGTCGGGGGCGTCGCTCGTGCCAGGTGATGCAGCGGCCGAGTCTGGTGTCGGCACAAAGGGAGCCTGTTCGGCGTGCGCAGATTGCAGCACAGAGATGACGCAGCCTGCTACCAGCAGTGTGAGCAGTGCTCTGCTGCGAACAGCCCAGCGTCGACTCGAAGAGGCCATGATGAGGACGATGAGGTCGTCGTGATCGCGTCAGCGCATTCTAGGCCTTGTGGTGGACCGTAGCCTACCGCCACTATGACTGGTGTGTTGAGGTGGCTGAGCGTCAAGCACGTGGTGTCAAAGTGTGGTGAAGAGTGGGATGGTGATGAACGAGAAGGCCGATGCGAGGGTCTGTGCTCAGCGTCGAGGAGGGTCCGGTGGGTGCATCTTCGGCCGCCCACCGAGGCCACGAAAGCCTCCACGTTGACGCTCCGCCGCCCTGGGCCGGAAGGCATTCAGAATCTCACATTCGAGAAAAATGCACGGATGAGTGATCTAACAAGCGGAAAATTCGTTTCCCCTCTACTTGCCGCCCACACCAAGATCAAAGTAGTCAAGCTGCAGAAGCATTTTGTACGAATGTCGTTCGATGTTGCCAACAAGAGAGCGTGTGTGATCTAAATAGTGCGAAAGCGATGCGAAGCTACAGAATTAACGAAAGAGAGAGAGAGAGAGAGACAACACACAACCGAAACGGTGACGAAACAAGGACGTAGGGCAACCTTAGTCCTTCCTGCCCAGGCCACCCGAGGTGGCGCGCCAGACGGCCTTGGAGATGAGGCCGCCCCAGTAGTCGAATGTTGCCGTGAAGCACTCGGCGACGAGCATGAGCATCGCATACGACGTCACGAACACCACCAGGATCGTCGCCCAGTACGGCGCGCCTGCGGCGAGCATGGTGAGGCACAGCCATGCCGACCACGTCCACCACACCACACCGTGCATCAGGAAGACGGCAAACGCGTGGCGACCGATGTACGACCACACACGCAGCCGGAAGAAGGCGCGCAGCAGATCCGACAGATCCGTCAGCAGGAAGAACGAAAACGACAGCACCCACGACGCCACACGCGGATCCGTGTAGCTGATGCTCGCGTTCTCCACCCACGCATGCGGCTGCTCGCGCGACCAGTCCGGATGCAGCTCGAACTCCTTGTTGTCGAATCCCACTCCAGGAGAGCCAGGGATCTGCGAGAGGTACTGCTGAGTCCAGGCGGCCAGGAAGAGCACCCAGGCAAACACCTGGCCGTGCACCCGCAGCTTGTCCACCTTCTCCGGCAGATGCAGAGCACGTCGCAAGAAGCCCGGAACGATGGGGAAGCCCTTCTTGGCCCGAGCCTGGTAGTTGAGCTTGCTGTCCAGATCCGCCACCACCAAACCGGCCATGAAGAAGAGATCCCACGTGTTGGCGTACCAGCTGAGCCCGATGCACAGCGCGTAGAACGAGAAGCGCTTGTAGGCGTTCTTGATCTCGTGTGCAATCAGCGCGCAGATCATGCACGTCCACGTACCCTGCACGATCACCGGGATCGTCCACAACACACCCGTCGCATAGCCCGTCACCAGCGCAGGCTGCACGGGCGGAGACGACCACCATAGCGAGATGAATGCATCGAGGAACACCATGACGTTGTCAAAGTTCTGCCAGTACGACCACGTCGACCACGTCCTCGACGCCAATCGCGGCACCCACTTGAACGCTCCCACGTCCATCAGCATGTAGTTGGCCAGGACCGCTCCTGCGACCGGCAGCGCCAGACGCGGGATACGTCGCACCGTCGCATCCGCCATGCTCTGCAGGCCACCCTTGAGCAAGTACCGGTTGGTCATCGTACGCGAAGGCAGCATGAAGAAGATACCCAGCTTCAGACCCTGGTTGACGACAATCGGACCGATGAGCGAGCGGAACCAGAACTCGAAGCGCGGGTAGTGGTGCGGCGCATTGGGCGTGGTGATGCCAAAGTAGTAGATGAGCATAAAGTGGTGGAAGGACACCAGGAAGCACGCAAAGCCTCGCATGCCGTCCAGGTAGTCGATCCTACGCGCGCCCGTCGAGGTGAGCTGCGTCGTGCCCTTGATGAAGAGCAGCTCGTTCACACGACGCACAAACGCCTGCACCATCGACTCGGGCGGCTTGACCGTGCCCTTGGTGCCGTCGCGAGCCTTGCGTCCCACAGCATCACCCAGCTCGGGCTTGGCAAGCGCACCCACCTCGCCGTCGGCGGCATTCAGGTCTCGCTGCTGCCACTGGATGATCTGCGGACGCTGGAACGCCTCGTGCGCCTCGGAGCCGTAGCCCTCGTAGACCGAGCCGGCCCTCGAAGTGCCTTCGTGCTGGAAGTCGTACATCGACGTCGGTGCCAGCCCGCTGCGCTCGGACGAGAACGAGCCGTTGCGTAGATGCTGCGTGCCCAACAATTGGTCGTGCGTCATGTGCGTCGAGTGACCCACGCTCGAGGCGACAGGCGGGTAGCCAGAGTACGACGATTCACGCGAATGCGAGTAGCCCTTGACATCGTGTTCGTCTCCAACCAGCTCCACCTCGTCGTAGTTGCCGTCGTGGCTATTGCTTCCGCTCGGGATGTCCTTGTGACCCGACAAGCTGTGCGAGTAGACCGAGGAGCGTTGGTCCGCAGCGAAGCCAGGCGCCACGTACGGAAGCGTCTGGGCGCGCTTCATATCCTCGATCCACCTCGGCGTGTCGGCGCCGCCTGCGAGCACCGGTGTGGCAGTTCCGGTGAGTGCGCCGGGTGCCTTGAGGCTGGTCACGGAGCCGTAGCGAGGGAGAAGTCCCTTGGGCGCCGCCTCGAGCTCCAAGACACTACTGTACGAGCGCGCGTCCGAGTTGTCGTCGTCGTCACTCGAGTCGTCCGAGTCGGAGTCGGAACCGTACACCAGATCGGGAGAGGTCCACAGCTGCACGGGCTGAGTAGCCAGCGTCGATACGCCGTTGATCGGGCTCATCGTGCCGGGCGTGCCAACGGAAGAGGCCCCGAAAAGATGCGCCTTGTCATCGATGCTCTCGGCGTCCACGGGGGTGTGCGGTGGGGTGTCGCTGAACGAGCCGCTAGTGGCCAGCGATGCGATGGCAGGGGGCGGCACGAATCCAAATGATCGCTCGTCCGACGACGTGGTAGAGGCGGCACTCGAAGCCTCTCGTGCCTTCTCCTGCGCAGCGACGGCGGCAGCGCGCTTCTTGTCCTTGGCCTTGATGGAGCGCACGACGAGACCGTGAGCGATGGTCATGATAAAGATGCCCGAAGCGATCGAGATGGCGATGATGGCATACAGCGGCGCATGGAACGGCTTCTTGGCAGGCTTGATCTTGTTGAGTGCAGCCAGGTCGAAGGCCGTGCTGTCACGCAGCGTAAAGTCGTCGGTGCTGCAGATGGCGTCGGCGTTCGAGGCAACTGCCGAGCACTGCGAATCGAACTGCGACTGGCGCTCTTCGAGACTCGAGTTGAAGAAGAAGCGTGCGTAGCGCACGTGCGTCAGCAGGGGCTGGCGAAGAGGCGGACCCTGCGACTGCGAGTGTTCGCCGTTGGCCCACGCCTGGAAGCTGATTGGCATCGGCGTAAGCGGGATGCGCGTGGCGTTGACGCCCTTCTGCACCGAGTGGAAGTTGGCGCTCTCGTTGGAGGCTGCATTGCGCCACTGAATCAGTTCCGGCTGCCAATCGAAGCGGTGCTCGAGGTAGTCCTCGGTTCCGAGCGACGAGACGTTGAGCTTGACGGGCTCGTCACCCTGGCCGTAGGTAGAGTACGACCATTGCAACGTCGAGTTGGCAGGGTCGTCGGATGTGAAGATGCCAATGTTGACCGTCTCGGAGTCATTGTAGGCGGCGCTGAACTTGAACGCCGCACCGCGACCTCGCGAGACGGCGGGCTCGACCTGGGCACGGAAGGAGCCGTAGAGGATGTCGCGCCTGCGAGTCACGATCTGAGAGCCGTTGACAATGCGGTGCGTAAGCTCGGCAGGGGACACCTGGAGCGCCAGGGCATTGTCATCGAGAAAAGTGTTGTTGTAGCTCACGGCGCTGCGGTATGTAGCGTCGAAGCTGTTCTCCCACTTGTTGAGCAGGTTGCCCACGAGCGACCATGCCTGCTGTCCGTCGCCCGTCTCCCCGGCAGTGTCGCCGCCGTACATGCGCGGAGACACGGCGGGGTTGGTCACGACGTCGTTGAGGCCTGACTCGTTGAAGTAGGTGATGGCTCGGTCTGTCCACACGGCATCTGTGAGTGGATCTCTGTAGCCACACTCGCACGCGGCGTGGGCAGATGGCAGAAGAGATGCGGCCAAGACGAGCACCGAGGCTACCAGCGTTGCTGGTACGCTTCTTGGCAAGACGACCATGCTGCTATACTACGCCGAGACCGACCCGTCGATTCGCCTGAGTGACCCGATCCTAGGTGAGGTGTGCGCCAGAGATGGTGTATGAAGGAGGATTTGCGTTGAACAGAGGGAGGGGATGTTGGATGAGGAGATGAAGCGAGGACGTTCGTTGGTCCAAGAATGCAAGGTTGGAAGATGCAACGAGAAAGACGACTGCAAGCGTGAGCAATGACAGCGGGGGACTTTGGCAGGAGCGGTGTGGGACGCAGGAATCCGTCTGGAGTGGAGGCACTGATGTGGGCAAGGCCACTGGCGAGCGAGTTTCGTTGTCTGAAACGGGCAAGAGAAGAACTTGCCGATACAAGGTCTGACCTCGGGACGGGCAAAGGATGTGCAAGAGTCGAGCGTGTCTACGCGACACTAGATGGCCGAAGGTGTTTCAGGCGGTCCAAACGTTGGGGAGTGCGGCTAGTCAAGGTGCGATTGAAAGAAGCCGACGGTGGAGCGCAACACAGTCGAGCGGGTGCAATGTCGGGAGCGAGAAAGAGGGTTGTCAGTCAGATGGATACACTGCCGTGTGGCAGGATGGTTGACAAGCTCACTTCAGCAACATGACGGCACTGAATTTCAAGACAAGCCATGGTCAAGGCTGTCCGCTCCGTAGGACCTTGCTGTGATAGCAAACGAAGTCCGGCAATGCGCCGCACAGAGCACGAGAGGGCCTGGCGGTTTCCAGGGTGAGTTCACTCGACAGCACCGCCAGGCATCGGCAAAGAGGGCGTGCCAGCTGTGCAGCTGTGCACAGGCTCTGGTTGTTCACGTTGGAAGGGCGCAGCACACCGAGCCTTTGCAACCCACCTCCCTTTTTTGACGTCTGCACAGCACAGTGAGATCGATTCAGTCGCCGCATGCAACCGAATGAAAGCGCTGCATGCTCGTGGACCGAGGCTCGACGGTCCCGGGTGCTGTCGGCTCAGCGGGGGTTCGCTCGAACCTCATGGCGTTACAAAGTGTCTCGGATCAGCAAAGATCCAATGACTATTTTTTATTTTTAATCTGTTTCGAACAAATGACGCATGACGAAGCGTGCGTACACTTACAATTCAGACGTAGAGCTCGACGCGGAGCTCGACGCGTCGGCTCCTGGCGCTGCTCCCTGCACAGGCAAAGCTAAAGGCCGGCGTCGACTTGGATGCGTCGCTCGATCGACAGGCTTAGACTTACGCGTGCCGCGTGGGCTTTAATTTATATTTTCGCTTTGCGTTTTATTTCTGGGTATCGGCATGCAAATGGCCGCACCGAGGATTTCCGAGAAGGCGACTTGGCGAGACATAGGTGACCAATGCCTGCGTCGGCTGCCGCCATCCGATGGTAGCGCATCTGCTGGCACACCCCCTCCCGGCAATACAGTACAGCGGAGTCCGATGCTGTGCTTCTGCGCGTTGAAACACAAGCACACCTGTGTCACATCCGTGTTTGTTGTCTTGCTCTGTCGGGGCGTCTCTGCCACAACCCCTTTTTTAACCGGCAGCAGCGGAGGCGCAGGCGGAAGGGCGGGCGGATCTGGCTCTCATCTCGCAGCACGACGCCCGCGCCTTGCCTTTCGCGCCCCGCCTGCCAAAGTGCGCCAGATGCCCGCCCCGGCCAAACGAAGATTCCCTTGAGCCGCTCGGGTCTGTGCTTGTGCTCACATCGAGTGCCGTCCTTGGCCTCAGAGCCAAAAAGAAATTCGCTTTGGCTCTCGAAAAGACCGTATCGGTTGACGCACGCACCGCATTCGCGAGACTGGCCTTTGCATGGCGAACGGTTTGCAACACAGTTTCGTGCTGTGTCCCTATTCTTGTTTTGCAAGTATTCGCCGGCAGCCGTCCGGTGTTCCTTTGGGTACAGGCACTGATGAGAGAGGACGATTGAGAAGCCTCATGATGGCCCGCTTAGAGCTTTGTGTAAGGTCTGTGCCCGCATCTGCTTTCAGGCGCCCGCACCCCCTCGATTGGAGCGAACTCCACTTTGGGCTGCTAGAGCGGACAGACAATCACTACTTCGGCGCTCTTCCGGCCTGCAGATTGCTGTTGGGAATCCCTGCACCCCGTGCAGCAACATTTTGGCACTTCTTTCATCGTTTACATTGCCTCGTATCCATCCTACCCACGATCAAGTATACCCTCTTTGCTGGCGACCATCTCAAGCTCTTCTCGACACCACCGCAAGAACATCCAACGCTTCACATTTCTGCTCGACCTCTTTCGCGCCGGCCGCATACACCACGATGGGTTCGTCGGCTGCCATGGGCGGCCAGATGGCCAGGCTGTCCGCCTTCGTGTATGGGTGGACGCCGATGATCCTGCTGGCGAGCTACTGCGTGATCAGCTTCTTCTTCTACATTGTCATTCCGCCGATCCTGCAGGCGGTGCTGTTTTACATCTACCTGGTGCTGCAGACGCTGACGGCGCTCTCGGTGTCGACCGAGGCGCTGCAGTCGGTGCGTCCCTCTGTCAAGGCGCGCCGGGCGTTCCGCAAGGCCGCCAAGGAAGGATGGGGCGAGACCGAGGGCGGTAAGCAGTGGCCGAGGATCGACGTGGTTCTGGTGGCCTACCTGCCCAACGAGAAGGACATTATCATGCGTCAGCTGCGATACGCACTGCGCGAGATCAACTATCCCGCCGACAAGCTCATGGTCAATCTCGTCTACAATACGCCCAAGCCGATCGAGCCGGTGGAGACCGAGTTGCGCGAGCTCGAAAAGTCGCACGCCCGACTGCGCGTGATCAAGGTGCCCAACTCGACGTCCAAAGCGGACAACATCAACCACTACCTCTCGCTCGACTTCAAGTGCGATATCATCACGCTTTACGATACCGACCACTACCCGGATCCGAATGCACTTCGTTGGGTGGCCAGACGCTTCCTGCAGGGCGGTATCGATATCATCCAGGGTCGATGCTGCGTGTACAACTACGACGAGACGTGGCTGACTCCGCTTGTGGCAGCCGAGTTCGATATGATCTACGGCGTGATGCACAGCGGACGTGCCGAGGTGCAGGGCTACGGATTCTTCGGCGGCTCCAATGGACACTGGAACGCCTCGTTGCTCAAGACGCTGGGGATGCAGAAGCACATGCTGACCGAGGATATC